TAAAATTACATAATGTCTACTGATAGAAAATTCATAAATTCAAACTCAAATTATACCATTATTATTAGGGAAAGATCAATTAGTTTAAGGCAACTCTTGGCTAATATGATTGTACATATATAATTTTAGTTATCAACTACAAAGAAAATAGAAAATGTAAAGGAATTATAGATTGATAAACAGCGACATATTATATAGGTAGAATGGTTGTATAGAAACTTTTTCATTAAAGTAATAATTGTAACTCCACATATAATGACTCAAATAAAAATTGGACAAAGAAGCAGTTGCTAATTTGCTGAGCTCAATCAGCAGCGAGCCTTCAAGATTATTATGTGAGACATTTATGAAAATTCTCAGTTACCATGCACCTAAAGTTTACCATAAAAGCTATGATGTAAAAGCCATTAAAATAAAATAAAAAACAAAGGAATAGAGATAAAGGAAATCTAATGCTTGTTATGAAATGAAGGAGGCGATGTTGGAAGGATCAGAGAGTTAAATCCATAGTCAATAACAAAGATCATTATAGCAAAACATGGCATCAATCAGGTATTTAGGCATATCATAGCATATGGGTTTAAATTAATCAAGAAGTTCTGGATTGAGCACAAGAAAAGTCGAGAAGCATATAGGAGATCCTCTTTGGTGGAGTGCAAAAATGTGACAGAGAGAAGAGAGAACCATAATTGTGATTTTTTTTTTCACATAATAGGTGTGGGTCAAGTTTTGAGTCAATGGGTCATTATTAAAACAAGTCAGGTCTAAAACTGACCCAAATAAAAGTGGGTCAGTATTTAAATCCAGTTAAAAAATAGGTATTTATGAGTCAGGTCAAGGTCAGATCAAAGGCAAGACAAGTGAACTAATTTTTTTGCACACCCATTTTAAGTTGTCCAAAGCATGTGCTTATCACATGTTCTCATTAATTAATTTTCTGTCACTAGCTCATTGGTGGTATACAATATTTTTCTTGCATCCCTATCTTTCTCATCTCTAAGTTCGATGCCAGAAGGTGGTTTTCACTTACATTAAGACGACAAATTTCAACTTCTAACACTTCTCACTTGTTTTCTGCAAATTACTCTATGGTTGATGAGAATTTCTTCTTATCGCTTCCTTTGTAGTCTCAAGATTGGAAAAATTTTCAGTGTTCCAGGATGAATACTCGGTGGTCCTTTTATCAAATATAATAAAAAGTAATATTTTTAATACTATCCTTGCCTTTATATTTATTAACACTCATATCCCACTTTTTTCTATTTTTGGTGGGGGACCATAGTCTCCTTGAGCACATAAAAAGTTCTCCTCAAGACCCATAATCCAACCATAAGTTTTTTTCACTTGTTTGCTCATTTACTCTCCTTTTTCTTTTACTCCCTCACTCTCTACCTTTACTTTTTCCTTCTTTCGAAAATAAGTATTAGGGTTTGGATTTTGCTTTTAAAACATGAAATAATTATGGATTTATTAGATAATTTTTATCTCCTACATACATATAAAAATTTATAAGATCCATATTTTCTTTCTCTCTTTCCTCACATGGATCTCATACACTTTGATATATTTATAAGAAATAAATTTATCTCCTATAACATAAGAAATAACAAACCAAATAATTATTATCTAAAGTCATAATCGACTATTTTTAATTTCTCAAGAGTTTAAAACTCTTTAGATTTAACAAAGAATTGATTATTTGAACAAATAATTAATTATTTGGACAAACAGAGAACAGTTAGACTCTTCGATTCTGATAAATATATCAATTATTCTTTTTAATAATCAATTATTTATTCTAATGATCGATTAGACCTCACTGATAATCATTATTCTTAACAAAATCAGTTTCAGTTCTGGTTACTAACATAATGATTGATTGTTTTAGATGATGGGATGTTATTAGACTTTTTCTTGGGTTTAGTTGATGGGTTAACTTGTTAATGGGTCTTGGGTTTAGAAATTTTTGGACTATGATTGGAGAAAGGCCCAAGTAGGTAGAGGAAAATTAATATATTGGATCGGTTTGTATTTGATCGGTTTTCATCAATCAATCCAAAAACGGATCCAATCCAATTAAAATTTGCGGTCAAACATAATGTAGTTTGTAAACAAAAATTTTGTAAATATAATCTTCGTATATATATATATATATATATATATATATATATATATATATATATATAAAAATTAAAAATAATATATTTTACATTCAACTTGTATCGTTTGATTTTTATTTATATTTATTGTGGATAATTATTAAAAAAAAAATTGATTAGAAAACTCTCAGTATATGAATCCGACAATTGAATAAAAAAAATTAGGTGTTAGATTTATTATTATTATTATCTAAATTTCAAATAACTATTTATATAATAATTATATTATATTATAATTGTGACGGTTATATTATTCAATAATATACAACGTTTTGGTTTAATTAAACATTACACAATTCAGTCATATAAATTCGCATTTCATTGCATTTTTCAAAAACAAATAATTATATACATCCATAGATAATCATACATTTGAATGACATACCCATTTGTGACAACACTTCCTCGATTCTATATAAATTTTAGTTAAAATTTATCGCCAACTTAAAGTCAAAAGTCAAGACTAGTATTAGACACTAGGGTATAAATAAGTTAGGCTACGATAGGCTTTGACTTAAATAGATTAAGCCTGTGTAAAAAATACTGGGTCTGGCCTGGACTATTAGCCTGTGTAGGCTCCAAATTACAAGTCTGATTTGACTTATATTTAAAAAATAAAAGCCTTGACCTAGGCATGTTAGCCTATTTAAGCCTATTAAACATTAAACAATTAAAAGAAAACTAAAATAATATTACTTTATTATTCAAAATTATTAAAATAATAATTTTATTTATTTTATTTAAATAAAGAGAGAGGGTTATATTTACAAACTCTTATAAACTACGCTATGTTCTCCCGGGAGAACACTAGGTTACATTATGCTCTCTCGGGAGTATATAGTGTAATTTGTAATAATTTGTAAAAAAAGTTTGTAAACAGATCCTTCCCCTTAAAATAAATAGGGAAAAGTGTGTATAATTTTGAAGGATGTAAAGTTGTGTCATTTTAAGAGAGAGAAAGAGATAGATAAAAGAGGAGAGAGAGTTGACAAAAAAAATAAAGTTGTAGGTCCCACCTCTTTGTGAGAGTGAAAGGATGTAAGTTGTGTAATTTAAAAGTATATACATTTTTCCCAAATAAATAATATGATATAGGCCGACCTGTAGACTTATAGGTCCGACATGTACAAAAAAGTCTATGGTCTATTTTCTAAATAGATTTTTTTAAAAGTCTAGGCTTATTCTATTTTACTATTTGTAATAGGTCAAGTCTGACCTAATATAAATTAGACCGTAAGCCCCTATAAACCGACCTAGCGCATTTACATCCTTGTTAAACACGATAAGGACATTTATTAAATAGTCCTTCTATCAAAGCCATAATATTTGAAATCTATAGCTATCAACTCAATTTGAAGTCAACTATACTAGCTAATATGCTACGACAGAATACCCTTCAAACCTAGTTTCCCACCCAAGCTTGGAAGTTTGACACATTATTTCCTTTTAGGCACAACTATACTAATCTATATTTCATATTTTCTCCTTTTCTAAAAACCTTAACTTGAGATATAAAGCTATAAATCCGTTAAGGTTTGAGTTTTACGCTGTCCCAAGCATGTGCTTATCACATGTTTTCATTAATTAATTTTCTGTCACTAGCACATTGGTGGTATACAATATTTTTCTTGCATCCCTATCTTTCTCACTTCTAAAGCATGTTAAGAACCACTACTTAAGTTCTATGCCAGAAGGTGATTTTCAATTACGTTAAGATGACAAATTTCAACTTGTAACACTTTAGCTCACTTGTTTTCTGCAAGTTACTCTATGGTTGATAGGAATTTCTTCTTATCGCTTCCTTTTATCAAATATAGTAAAAAATAATATTTTTATATTATCCTTGCCTTTATATTTATTAACACTCATATCCCACTTTTTTCTATTTTTGGTGGGGGACCATATTCTCCTGGAGCACATAAAAGTTCTCCTCAAGACCCCACAATCCAACCATAAGCTTTTTCACTTGTTTTCTCATTTACTCTCCTTTTTCTTTTCCTCCCTTACTCTCTACCTTTACTTCTTTTTCTTTCTTTTCAACATAAGTATTTAGGGTTTGGATTTTTCTTTTAAAACATGAAATAATTATGGGTTTATTATTTCTCATGTTATAGGAGATAATTTTTATCTCCTACACACATATAAAAATTTATAAAATCCATATTTTCTTTCCTCACATAGATCTCACACATTTTTATATATGTATAAGAAATAAATTTATCTCCTATAACATGAGAAATAACAAACCAAATAATTATTATCTAAAGTCATAATCGACTATTTTTAATTTCTCTAGAGTTTAAAACTCTTTAGATTTACCAAAGAATTGATTATTTGAACAAATAATTAATTATTTGGACAAACAGAGAACAATTAGACTCTTCGATTCTGATAAATATATCAATTATTCTTTTTAATAATCAATTATTTATTCTAATGATCGATTAGACCTCACTGATAATCATTATTCTTAACAAAATCAGTTTCAGTTCTGGTTACTAACATAATGATTTATTGTTTTATTGTGAATGCCATCTTGTTTAAGATTTTGATCAGGCATTTCCAGTATGTTCGTATCATCAGTAGACTGTTTTTCCAAATTTTCTTCACTTTTTTTTAATTTTCTTGGTTCGAATCCAGGAAACAGCCTCTTTGCAATTATACAAGAGTAAAGCTGCGCACAAGAATTTCCTCCATCTCACACTCGCTAAACGGATTTAAGAGAATGGTTTTTTTTAAAATTGTGAAACTTACAGAATAAAAGATACTTTCTTTTTCATTATCCTGTGTCTTATCTGGACCATCATTTTTATAAATAAAAGTATACTCAGCCAAGTTGCCATCATATATTTCAGCTCTGCTATACTTCAAACATTTCTACACATATTCCGCAAGCTTTAGTACATGCCATTAAACAGTCCAATATATAGCCAGGAGAAATGCTTACAACTTTGCCTATTGTTCAGTCTACTACTTAGTAATAATACATTTGATGACTTACTCTTCATTGACCTCAATTCGTTAAAATTGGCTTAGATCTTGTGAACATTAAAACCTGAATCCTCTGATGTCAAATTCTCATTCCAATTCTCAAATTCTCCTCCACCAAACACTACTTGCTTGATCCCAACATAACTATCACAAACAAAAACCAAAGAAAATAGATGGGATTAAAATAAACATCTAAGAAAAATAAAAAATAAAAATACTAAAACTTTTTATCTAATATGCCAAACATGAGTACTAAAGCAAGGATAAGCTAGAGGAGCTGAACAAAAAATAACTCATCACACACACATACATGCATGCGTGTGTATATCAAATCTTTTAGAGCAAGAGTGCTGAGAAGCAAGGACACTAACATGGGGCTCATGAGATGACACAAACACACTCCAACACAACAAATTTTTAACTGTCCGATTAGGATTTGAAGAGTCATGTTACATGCAACACAAATGTCCGATATTTTAATCTTTCCTTGAAAGATTCGTGAGCACCAATCAAAATGATAATCTACAACTTCTATTTTCTAATATTGCTCATGCAAATTATCAAAAGAACTGTTCATCCTAAATGGCTTTGGTTGGTTAGTCCCCGTTTTTTTTTTAAGTAATTAATCAATAGAATAAAGCAAGTGGAGATCATACTCGGAGCTTATCTGTGTCAATGCATTTACCAAAACATCCAGAATCAACGGTTCATAAGATCCAATATCCACCCTGTTACATCACAAGAAGAACATATTAGTATTCGCACTTCAAATTACATCAACATGTATAACAAAGCATTAACAGAAAAGAATATGCAATTGGTGGTGCACCATATTCGAGCCAAGTTGTCTTGAACCTCAAGATCCCCAATGTTGTAAAATGTAGTTGGTGTCACATTTGCTCCCTGAATATAATCGTAACTTGGTCGTTTATCTATTGGAGACTGTGACAGCTGTAGTAATGATGCTAGCTCTATAAGCAACGTAGTCGTTTGAAAAATCCACCGTAAAAGAGAGAGAGAAAGAAAACTTGGTATCCATGGCAGAAGAGAAAAACTCACTTGCATATTCATGGCATTGCATCCACCAAGACGTCCAATAATGTGCCATGATCGTAAAGTCTGCAAAGACCCAAATTCAACAAAATTTCATAACATAGACATATGTGCATCATGGGGAATGTAAAACAATATAAGAGTCATAGGACAAAGTTCCTTACATTACAAATTAAGGAGATGTCTTTTGCCAATGGAGCATTGTAAAATTCAAGCCATATATATGAGTTCGAAAAGTCAAATCTGGAAAGACCAGCATTAGCAGTAAGAAAAAAATAATAATTTTTATTGATAAGCAAGAAAAACAGAATATGTAATTATTGCACATGTGGAATACAACTTAAAGCAGAAAGCAATGAGTTATTATCAAATAAAACATGGTGATAGGAACCAAGTATGAATCGAACCACGAATAGAATGAGAAACATGTAATTTGTGTATATTTCACTGATATCAGTACGATATCAGTATCAATATGGGAAATTACAAGCTGATGGAAAAGAAAATACAAGAAAATGAAATAAACCAATTCCAAAGATTTCGAGAGGTTCTAGTCTCTTCCAAGGACTAATCCAAGACTTCTCAACAATCTTGATTCCCCTCTCTCCCTTCCACTCTTAACTCCCTTTCCCCCACTCATGTTGTTACTACAACCTTACCCGCCAATCCACCATGATGCCATACGGTTCAAACATCGTATGGTCATACACAACTATTTCAAGCATATAGAGAGGTGTTTCCTGCCAACCGTTCCAAAGGTAAACCTTATAGTAGCTTCAACTATAAGACTGCCAGAGTTAGATCTAAAGGCCATGGCCTCAATATATTGGTGACTCTATACCACAAACTTTGTTATTCCTCATCATGTCCTTCCTATTCTAATTATCAACCCTCATCCTCTGTTATTCCTCCTTATAGTCCTCATCCTATGAAAACTAGATCTACGCTCGCTATTATTTTATTGACTCACTTGGAACCTTCCACTCCTGAATAGTCTTGGTTGATCCCAAATGTTTGGCAGTAATACAATTATAATTTGGCAGTAATGCTTTAAAGGCTCTTATGTGTAAATGAGTTTTCAAAGTAAAGGAAAACCTAGATTGTTCAATTAAAGTAGTACAAGGCCAAAAAGAATATCTAACTTGAATTCTACTTTTGCTCTCAAGAAGCTAGGGACACTAGATTACCTGATGAAAAGAAAGAGTGTTTTTCTGTATAACACTATTGATTGATTACATTGAGAGACCCAATAGGTCCTATTTATATTGAGTACAAAGAACAATGCTAATAAATAGCAACAGTAAACTAAGAGGCTTATTTACAATAACAAGAGACATTAATAAATAAGGGAACAAATAGCAAGGAAGTAATAAATGATAATCTAGAATATTCTACACTCCCCCTCAAGTTGGGAGATATATATTGATCATTCCCAACTTGCTGATCAAATCCTCAAAGGTCGGCTTAAGTAAACCTTTGGTGAGAATATCTGCTGTTTGTTCCTTGGTAGGTATATATGACAAGCATACACTACCGTCTTCTAATTTTTCTTTGATAAAGTGACGATCGACTTCCACATGTTTTGTTCTGTCATGATGGACAGGATTTTGAGCAATGCTGATAGCAGCTTTATTATCACAATATAATATGATAGGTAGGGAATAAGAGATCTTCAACTCTTCCAGAAGCCTTCTTAACCAAATTCCTTCACAAATACCATGGGCTAAAGCCCGAAATTCCGCTTCTGCACTGCTTCTTGCAACAACAGTTTGTTTCTTACTTCTCCAGGTCACAAGGTTTTCCCAGACATAAGTACAATATCCTGAAGTAGATCTTCGGTCCATTGCAGAGCCAGCCCAGTCTGCATCTGTATAAACTTCAATCATCCTTTTGTTCCCCTTTTTAAAGAGAATTCCTCGACCAGGGGTGTTTTTGAGGTACTTGAGAATTCTATAAACAGCACTAAGGTGTTTTTCCTTAGGAGAATGCATGAATTGGCTAACCATGCTCACAGCAAAAGCAATATCAGGACGAGTGTGAGACAAATAGATTAATTTCCCCACTAGTCTCTGGTACTGCTCCTTATCAACATCTTCCCCGTCCTCAACTCCCATCTTGATATTAGCTTCAATTGGAGTCTCTGCTGGCTTGCACCCAAGCATACCTGTTTCTTGCAACAGGTCTAGAATGTATTTTTTCTGAGTTAAGGAAATTCCTTCCTTACTTCGAGCAACTTCCATGCTATAATATCCCAAACTTAAGCATTTAATTGATTAATTTTAATTAAATAATTAAGCATGTTTTAGTGAGTAAAATTAAGTAAAAGACTTAATTAAATGAATCTGAGTCACTTAGAGTTAAAAAATGTACTCAGTGAAAATTAAGGGGTATAAATGGGTACTGGCGAAAGTACCCAAAATATAAAAATAAAAATAGTAATATTCCTAGAATAATATTCCAGACTTTTGGGTAAAGTTTGGTAATTAATGGAGTTGAATAGATAGACGAACCAATACCCGCTTAAAGTCACTTAACCTATGTTAAGTGACTAAAGAACAAAGAAGAACCCATTTCCCCCCCCCCCCCCCCATTGCCCGTCGACAGCAAACAGAAAGGAGGAAGAGAGAGAGAGAGAGAGAGAGAAGAAGGAGGGAAAACCTAGTGGGAGCAAATCCCAACCGTTTTGGGTGATTCAAAAGCCTAAACTACTCTAAATCTTCCCCTCTTTCATAATCCTAGCTTGGTTTTGAGTGGGAGTCCTTGTGGAGAGAGATATTGGTCCCCAAAGATTCGCCCCTTTTGAGAAGTGTGGGGTTTTGGGAGTTTCTACCTCCATGGAAGCTTGAGGAACACTCATTCCTCTATTGTGTGATCATTGGTGGTAAGTTTCCACTCTCTTTCACATGATTCTTGGAGATTTGCATGAGTTTAGGGTTAATGAATAGTGTTTTAGGGTTTTTATGAAATGTTGAGTAGATTGGCTATGTTCAAGGAAGAATGAGGCTTAGAGTATGTTGTGAAAAATGCTAGGAATGACATTTAATCGGTAGAAATGAGTTTATAGTGTTATTTTAGTATGCTTTGATGTTTGGAGAAATCTAGGCTTGGAACTATGGATTTCCTTGCATTGTTAGCATTGTTTGATTGTATTCCTTGTGTTCATAGGATTGAGGCAAGAGGACCAAGTGGAGTGACCAACCCTTGGGGTTGTGTGCAATTGAGGAAAGCTCAAAGAGCAAGGTAAACCTTTGGACCTTGTGGTTGATCCCATTGAGTGTTCCACCATACTCCGTTGAGGAGAAATGGTTTATGAGATGTGATATGTAATTATGATAGTGATTGTATGCTCATGCATTGATTCATGCATTGATACATGTTATGATTGATTGATGATTATTGGTTGATGTTTGATTGTTTAAGAGTAATTGAGGAATGATTATAGAAGTAGCAATAATGAATGAGGTAATGGTTGAGGATTGTGATTGAGGTTATAAGTGATAGTATTATGATGAGGATGATTAGTAGGAACTTCCCTTGGAAACAGCCCTATGTGGATCTCCATGTGGTTAGAGCCTAAGAGGAACAGCCCTATGTGGATCCCTCTTGGAGGTTCCTAGATTGAGGAAAGGACTTCCCTTGGAAACAGCCCTAGGTGGATTTCCATGTGGTAAGCGCCTAAGAGAAACAGCCCTTTGAGGATCTCTCTTGGAATAGATTGAGGAAAGGACTTCCCTTGGAAACAGCCCTATGTGGATCTCCATGTGGTAAGAGCCTAAGAGAAACAGCCCATAGTGGATCTCTCTTGGAATTCCATGTGATGCTTGTGGATAAGAATGTGTTAAGCTATTATGATTATGTGTACATCAAAGTGAACCTTAGGGTGGAGTGATCTCCAAGGACCTCTGGTTTACTGTGATATATTCGTATATCTCACCCCGTGTTGTGGGGCATCATTTCAGGTACTGATAGAGGTGAGGTTGATCGAGGCAAGAAGCGTGAGTAGACTGTACCTGATAGCTGGACATGTTGAGTTGCATGCCATTTAGCATTGCTATATGTATATTTTGATGCCACATGATGTATTTTGGAGGACTTAGTGCATGATCATTGTAGTAGTAATGGGTATCTGATACAGGGTTACTTGCTTTGATCATGTTCATTTTGTAGCTAAGTCCTTTGGCATGTATATGAGATTTGTAATTAAGACATGATGTAATATTGTAAGTAATGAAGATATTGGTGTATGATGCTTACTGTAAGTTAAATGCATGAATGTATTTTTATGTATTGGATATGTTGAGCTGGAAAGTCAATTAGGTACCTTGTGCTAAGTTGGGAAACGTTGAGAAAACAAAGATTATGCTGCCCAATTTCCGTTAAATCAATGATGAGAGGATGAGAGTTGAGCAATGATATAGGGATATCACAAGCTTGTTAAATAGGTTGTAAAATGTGTAGGATTGATTCCCCAAGAAAGATGCATGAAAAATATGAGTATAGGAAATTGCCCAGAAGAGGGGGCTTAAGCCTGCAAATGGAGGCTTAAGCCTGCTCAGGGGGCTTAAGCGCCCATGAGGGGGCTTAAGCGCCCTGATGCACCTGTGAAGACCAAAAGCTTTCTGCCGCATGGGGCTTTAGCGCCCAAAATGGGGGCTTAAGCGCCCAGGTAGCGCGCTTAAGCGCCCTGGAGCGAGCTTAAGCGCCCTTGGTGGCTAAAAAATGTAAATTCCCTCTGTCTGTGGGCGCTTAAGCGCCCTGGAGCGAGCTTAAGCGCCCTGCCCGCGTAGTTTTTCAGCATACACCTGAGTTAGTAAAATTGTCATAACTTGAGCTACAGAGCTCCAAATGAGGAGCGGTTTGAAACCACGCGTAGCTAACGAAGAAATCTACAATATAGTAGAAGTTGGGAAATAAATAAGAAGTAAATTAATGGTTTAAAAATGGAATAAGAACATGATGTTAAGCTTGGTTTATCTGATTCCGCAAAGTAATATGGTTATGATCACGCAATTGGGCATTATAAATTCGGCATGTTTTAAAATGAAAAATTTAACCGGATTTTAATTGAACCCATGTGATTGTAACTGCGCTTAATATCATAATGCGATGTTAACAAACCGGTTCTAGAACGGGGTGTTACATTTTATGGTATCAGAGCAGTTTCGTAGGGAATAACTGTTAGCTATTGTTGAGTATGCTTAGTGTTTGATGCTTTATAGTTGTTTTAGTACTCTTGATGATTATTGCATTTGTGATCACTAAGTGTGGGCCTGATCAACTCACTTCTTTGTGTAACATGTGTAGTGACATGACGAGGCACCGAAACAACCCCGGACCATCAAACACCAATGCTCAGCCAGAACCTGTTTTGGCTGCTCTTGTGAGGCCCAGAAGTGGCTGTGGGGCAACGGGCGTACAACCTGATCCCGTGGTTGAAGCTCTTGCAGCCGTTCAGAGGGAGTTGGCTGCTAGCAGGCAAGCCAATGAAAATTTGTTAAAGACAAATGAAGACTCGCGGACTGCTATGGCCGCGATGATGACCGAGTTGAGGACGTTGAGGGGTCCTAGGCCCGTGAACCGGCAACCCACTCCTCCTCCTCACACTGCTACGCCTTCTCCACCTCCTTCACAGGAAGAGGGTGTAGCGGGTAACAATGAAGGTGAGGCTAGCCACCATTCTGATAGTCATAGCCATCACACTGAGGTCCGTCAACCACGTGTTGAGCGTGTTGACGAGCATGAAGCTGAAGAAAGAAGATTGATGGCTTTCCGAAAACACAAACCTCCTTCTTTTAAGGGAGGTTATGAGCCAAT